TTCGCCGACGCCCTCGGCTGAGGGATTTTCCCCTCGTCCGAGGGAGCCGAGCGTCCGAGGGTCCGAAAGGGCCGAGGGCGCCGAGGGCGCCGACGGCCGCTGATTGGCCAAGGCACGCCCGGCCGATCAGCAGCCCTTCGGCCATCCGTCGTTTTAAGGTTATGAGGGGGGGCGGCAGCCCAAAGGCGCAGCCCTTGGGCGTCCCTGGGCGCGCCGTGGGTGCCGGCATTGACGCCCACGGTCGCGACGGTCCCCGAGACGGGGCGCAGCCAAGAGCGGCGGCCGTGCGGCGCTTTCCCCTCGCGGCGCCGTGGGCTGCCTACACGTCGGCGCGGGCACGAGGTCCTGTCGGTCCTAGGCCGCGCAGTCGCCCCAGTCGATGATGGAGCGTGGCCCGGGGGCGGCCAGGGATGATCTCTCCTGGCTGCTGACGCTGGTGCTGCCGTGGATCATCACGGAGTCTCCGTCGGACCGCCGCGGCGCCCGAGCCCCGACCGGACGAACTCGACGATTTCGAGTCTCACGACCCAGCCCTTGTACCGAGACGACGCCTGGGTGACGACGAACGATTCCCGATGCTGCAGTGACTCGAAACGAGTCGATGGGTTGGGAGGCGTCGAGCGCGCCCCACCCGAGCCTCTGAGAATCGCCCGCCTGTTCCCCGACGCCATCGCCTGGACGTCCCGTTTTCACCGGCGCGTCGTCCGTCAGGATGCGGCCCATGCAGCCACTGAGATCGTTGCGCATCTCCGCGTATTCGCTGAGCGGCGCGGGTGCAAAGCCTGTCATCAATCATGCAGCCCGGACATCCAGCGCCCGGGGGTCACCAACGGTTCGCCGCCCTCGTCCGATGGACGTGCGCTCGTCCGACGGCCGTGCGCTCGTCCGACGGCCGAGTCCTCGTCCGAGGGCGCCGATCCGCCGTCCGAGGGTCCGAGGGCGTCGGCCGAGGGGGCGGCGCCCTCGTCCCGAGGGCGCCGAGGGCGCCGAGGGCGCCACTGACCCCCCTCAAGCGCCGGCGGGATATGCTATGCCTAGATGCTAGGCCCGCACTTCA